TCACAAATTCAGCTAAGACATATATTATCTAAGTTTCAGGATGCTTATAGAAACCAAACTAATCATAGAACTATGCCCCAGTAGTGGGAAAGGGTTCAGCCTTCCCCATTAGTTACTATTTAGTAAAATGATGCACAGTATTACCAAGCAGGGCTATTAGATCAGTCATTGGTTCATGAATGATGCCTCCAAAAGTTCCTGAGTGAAGATCTCTCTCACCACATCCCACCTATATGAGGAAAAAGACCCAAATTGAGACAACGTATACTGTTTCAATGATTAGTTTTCCATGGAAACTCAGATAATTACAGCTTTATTGCTTCTGGCCTCAATTAAAAAAAAAAGAAAGTAGATACTTGTAGGAAAACATTTGAAAGACTTTCCTACAAAAGGGAAATCAAACAGTCAAAAATTTGGTCTCTCGTGTAATTTTTGGAAATGAAAGAGTAGCTTTGTGACAAGGAACAAGGGAGACAGATTTGGTTTTTTCTACTTTGCAGGGTCCTTTGAAAAGTATCTTCTTCCCCTGATTTCCCCCCGCCTAAAAATACTTTTTTGAGCAAAAACATTTACAAATTGCTAAATGTGTCTAACTTTGGGAGACCAAATCCCTCATGTTAAGCTTATTTGCTTAATTTTTTTCCAACACATATTTCAGACTTCAACATGTAAGAGCTAGTTTAGGAAACTTTTGCATTATAGAGCTCTGGAATAGAGGAAAATCTTTGATTTATTTAATGAGTTCCTTTTCCAGATACATTTTTAAATAAGTTTCTCACCAATTAAACTTTTTTTCCCAATAAACTTGTCCATTCCTTTCCAGACATCATTCTGTCAGACCATTTAGTAAGAGATGTGGATCATTTTTGTTTTGATGATGCTGTTCTTTTTCACCATGACTTTTTCAAGTAGAGGCACGGAAGCCGATTTTGAGGTAGTTCTTTAAGGATTATTTTATAAGATATCTCCCCTCTGAACTCCTCAATTTTGTGAGTTCAAGTACTTCCTAACTGGTGAATCTATTATCCTTTCCTATCCATATTTAAGGGTGGTTTCCTCCGCTTGCTAAATATGTTACAGCGGACTATTTGCATTGGTCTTCTCCCCCCAGGGCCTCCACTAAGTTGTGCACCCTGTGGCAGATAGCTCATGCTGAACACTAATCATACTGAACAGTGCTGAAAGCAGCAGCAACTGATTCTGAAACAGGGAATAAAGGAAAAAGGGAGAGATTGAGATGGTCTGTGAAGGAAAATGTAGGAGGGGGAGAAGATTTATAGGAAGGAGATAGGCATTCAGAGAATGAAAATGAGGGCCTAAACATGGGGGAAATGGTGAGAAGGACAGGAACATGACAGGGTTAAGTGAATTGAATTTGGGGGAGAGTATATGGAGGTCAGATGGAATGGAGAGGAAAGACCCCTAGTCATATGTATTACATTTGCACTCAGTGTTGCTCTATACATATAGGTGTGTGGCGGGGTTAGATGGGGGTGGACACAAGGTACATCACTACCCTCTGCCCAAGGACCTATGCCAAATACAAACCACTCTCATTTAGTCTTGTACCTCCACAAAGAAGCAGGCATTCCCACGAGTCCCATAGGTGAGGGCTGGTTTCTTCTTGCTAAGCCAAAGATTATCCGAAATCACAATGTAATCAACATCAGAGAAAAAATGCTTCGTTTCTTTGACAACTTCATCTAGCCCTAAAGACCCTGCTTCTTCCATACCTTCAATAATGAACTTGAAGTTCACTGGCATATCCTATGGGAATAAATAAATAAATAAATAAATAAAAGCCTGGGTAAATGGCCAGTTTTTCAATAATGAAGAGCAATAGTATACTGTGAAGAAAGGGATGTTCAAGCAGGTGGCCTAATCCATCCCACTAGAAAGGCAAGCCTGGATTCATGGAAGGTGGAAACAGATGTTGCCTGTTGTCTTATTTGTGCCACCATAAACATGTTTATGATGGCACAGATAGTGAGCAAATAGACATTGCTACCCTTTGTCATTCTGTGTTAAAGGAAAATCAGTGGTGTAACAAAAGGTAGTAATAGACTCTGTTGCTTTATTGCAGCAAATATGTATTAACTCTGTGGCAAAAGGGTATGTGCAGCCTGAGCTGCTTGCACTCTCCAGCCAACCTAGGCAGGTGCTCTGGAGGCTTGATGGCCTCTTTCCCCACTTCCAGAGAGACACCCCCAGGGAATCTCAAGGTACTTCTCCACAAGTGGGGAAGTTGGGGTTCCCCACTCAGCTGGACCCATTCCCCCAATTGCAAGAGTGAATGTGGCTGAGTAGGGGGAGAGTCTCACCATCCCCACTCAGCCAGACCTGCTCCTATGATCATGGGGGACAGGTCTTGCTGAGTGGGGAAAGCAGGGCTCCAGAGATCATATCACCCCTCTACTGCACCAACAAGGGTGGAACAAGAAATGATGTGCATTTTATCCAATGAAGTGGATCAGATGTGCTGTAACACACTGCAGCCCAGCTGATATGTTTAATTTGGCAATGTCCATTTCCAGCTGCAGTGTCACAGATGATATTTCTTTCCCTTATGGTATTTCTCTCTTTTCCTTTTTCTCAAAATGACAGGGTCAGCTTTCTTAGCCTTCAGAAGATTTCATAACATTGCATTTGTAAGGTGGGTACCTTAATCAAGTTGCTAACTGTTTTCTCTAAGGGGCTAAATTATTTTCAATTATTTTTTCTAGCTGCATAAGGCAGGCGTTTCACCTTCAGTGAAGGATTCCTCTGTACTATCCATTGTTACATTTCCACCAGTGCTTGCAGCTGAGACCAATGGCAAGATGATTGACATAGGTCTACTGATTAACTGTTTAACTACCATGTGACCCAAACAGAAGTGGTTAGGTCTCATGTTAGTAAAACCTCTGCAGCCCAGTGTCCTGTTGTACTCCTGATATTTTGTGAGCACCAGTGAAGCTGTAGAGTTGGTTGATTATAAGGGCTATTTTCAACATTACTCAAACAATTTCTATCATGGCCATCAAGTGTTTAGAAAGGCTTGCACAACCCACGCAAGTCAACCTCAGCTTTCCAATCTGATTCATGTTCTGATTATGGAGATTAAGTTCCATACACAACTTGATGTTTTTTGTTTTACTTCAGTTCTCACATTGAACCCAAGTGCAAATGCCTGGACTTCAACAGATTTATTTTATGGATAAATTTAACTTCATAAATGCTTCACCAAATGACCAAAAATAAATTAGGATTAAACTGTTCACATAGGTTGTGTAATGGCCTCTGCTGTTTTCTAGAGAGAAGTTTCAGGAAGATAAATATTTTTAGCTTCAGTTGTTAAAATGCCAGTGTGGTAGCTATTGATTTCAAAGATTAGCACAGTGTAGAAAGCTAGCCACAACCTCATTAACTTATAATAGGTGACTAGTGCTGCATATGAAAACTGTGAATGTTTGTACAGTGTCTCTTGCACAAAAATACAAGAGACACTGTAAAAAAATGCAAGAGACACTGTAAATGCAGGGGCAAGACTGGACTGTGGTAACAAGACTGCCACAAAAAAAAAATCAAACTCCTCTAATGACTTGCAACCCATTAGGCGTTGACACAGTGGAGTGCTTGTGGTACCCAATACCAGACACATGCCATAAAATACTAAAAATGATGGTTACAATTATTAACAGAGACCTAACATGCTCATCACATGTGTATTTCCAAGCTAAGAGAGCCAAAGGAAAGGCTGAGCCAGTGAAGGCAAGGTAACTACACATTCATTTAAAATTGAACTAGCAACTAAGGAAGACAAAAGACTAAATATACATTTCAAGCAAAACCTGTAAAAAGTTCATTGAATACAGGAAGGATGCCCTGTGCATGACATACTAACATTTCTCCAAACAGGGCATCCAATGTCTAAGGTGTTACACATATCTCAATTATTTAGTGTATGTCTGGAGTTTTGTAAATAAACCATCACCAGTACAAGCTACTGCAAATTTGCCCCATTGATATACAAATAAGCCAAAACAGGTCAGGTGAGACCTGTAAGCATTCTGTTGGACCACTCAGGACCCATCACCTGTAATTGCAGCGGGTGCAGAGAAACACAGGTCTTCACACCTAGAAAAATCCAAAAACAGTATCTAGGCAATTTAACAGTTGTGATATGATGATTACTAGGCCTGTGTGAAGTGGCTAGTATTCATGTCAGATTTGGATGATTTGGGGGACAGTGATTCAAATCACTGTCCTGAATCGATTTGGCCAAATATGATTCAGAGATTCAGCCACGAAGCAGAGAGAGATTGCTGCTTCATTGCACCCAGCTTAACAAGTAACGGATCCTGCTTGGTGAAAGCTGCAAGATTTGGCCAGCTTCCTTTACCTGCATTGCTGAGAAAACACTATTGCTGCTAAGTATGTACTAGGATTTTGTGGCATAGCTCATTTTATTTTGGGAAGGAGTCTTTTTCTGTCATTTAGTTTTATAGCTTGCTTGTAGTGTTGTTATTAAAGCCTTTCTGCTATTGATCAATCAGGTGTTATGTCAGTTCTTGGGGCAGTAGGTTTAAAAATCTGCTTTCTAAGTGCAACAACTAGGACAGCAAATAACGAAGTATAATGTCTACATTTGCAGGCTAGCTGCTAACGGAAGCAGATTCAATAGCGCTACTGCAAAGCAAACTTCCATTGGTCTCTTTCACAGAGGGAAGAGCTGCAAAGATTAAGCTTCTGCTTACAACTGTGCAAGAGCACATTAAAGCCCCACCTTGTTTTACCCCACTGTAATTTGTGTGTGTGTCCATAAGTTTTTATAAAGTCTTCAAAAATCAAATCCTTAAGTTCAGCGTAACTTACAGCTGTAACAGAGGCAGGAGACTGATCTTCAACTGTTGTCACCTAACTGGTTATAGCACAGCTAAAAGCTGTAGGGGACAAAGACCTTAAGGGTGTCCTATAACTTGGTTGTAAGATGGACTGTCCCAATTTTAAATATGCAAAGTTAAACGATAACCTGGTAGGTTAGACAGAGGCTGTAGTTTGAAGACTAGTCTCTAATAATAATATAATATGGTTCATCGAGGGACACCTGTCTCTCACATTTTCGAGCATGTATAGTCTATATATCAATAATAAACACTTCTGTATTTTCAGAACATTTTCTTTGTGAAGTCTAAGAGGCTGTTGAAAATATATATATTCTATTTTGAATGAGGATTTGCTAGGTGCTTTCTTATCCTTATTCTATCCATGAATACACACTGATGACTGAAGATGACTTGTAGCCAAGAACAAGAGGTGACAGCTATGAGATCCCACGATCAACATCTGTTTTAAAGTCAGTTTTTCAATTGTAAAATGCTTTCAAAATAATAGTCTTCAAGGGAATTAGCCAATTTAATGAAAGAAACATCTTTAGTATTTTCCTTTCCCTAGGAACATTTTTCAAGACAGGACAAGGGCTGTGGTAGCCACGACATTATATTCAGTATATAAAATTCCCAAAGATAAACCAATATTGGGGTGGGTCTAGAATTTTAGAAGAAGCATTAAAAATATCCTAACATTTCAAAATACATGTAATCTATTTGTTAGGATAAGGTGGTTTCATCTGACATCACAGAAGTGTAAATTCACTCCTACACGGTGCCATTGTAATAATAAAATTGTTTCTCTTTGCTACCTACTAATTTTAGTGCTCTGAATGTTTCCACTGCATTTATCCATGCTAAGACAGGTCCTTTGTTATCTGTTGCTCCACGCCCATAAAGATTTCCTTAAAAAAAGAGAAAATTAAAAGCTTATATCAAACTTTAGAATCTCTCATGCATTCAGATGTAATAGGTGAAATTCAGGCTTCAGTGAAGTTCAATAGCAAAACTCCCACTGATCCCACTGGAGACAGGCTTGCAAAGAATAGTTTTAAATAAAGTACTTGATGTTTTTCCACTGATTACTGCACTGGCCTTTCATCTCTTAGGACTCTGTGATAATTTTGATGTGTGTCACAAGTCAACTTTATTCCATGTTTTAGATGAGGTTTGTCTGCACCATAAATTTCTATACAGATTGGCACAGTGTGCAGCTCCTGCACAGTGAGAATAATTGTAAAGATTATACTATTCTGCACTGATTTACCTAAGGACAAAAAAAAAAAAAAAATGTCTGTAAAATGCCTTTAAGTAGAACACGAACACAGTGGAAAGATAAGAAGAACCAGAGGAGACCGATGTGGTTATAAAAGGATCTTCTTACTTATCTGAAAAATCAAGAGTTAGGGACAGGCAATAGAAGGAAGAGTGTGGCACTGAGGAAGTATAAAAAGGAATAGCAAAAACATGTAGAAACAAAGTCAGGAAGGTAAAGGTGAAAATAAGTTCCAACAGGCAAGAAACGCTAAATACAATAAGGAGGGGTTCCACAGATATGTCAGATGAAAAAAACTAGGGAAATTGCGAGTCCACAGCTCAAAGGAGAAGCCACAAAGGAGGGAACTGCTCAATACCTACTTTGCTTCAGACTTTACCCCCTGCTCCAAAAAAGCTTTCCTTGGGGCACTAACAACCTAAGCATAGAAGGGGAAGGGACACAAGTGAGAGGGAGATAGGGGAACTTTTGACAAAACTAACTGAATTTCAGTTGGTTGCATCTAATGGAATTCATCCCTTGATGCTGAAGGAACCAGCTGAAGAAATCTTCAAGCCTCTGGCATCAATATTAGCAAACGTTCAGGTGAGATATGAAGTTTCAGAGGAACAGGAAAGTGGCTTAAAATAGTGTCTATCTTGAAAAGAAGAGGGGGCCCAAAAATTATATACTGGTCAATTTGACTTCAATACCTGGAAAGTATTACCTGCAAATCCTGTTAATCAAGGGAAGTGATCCTTCCACACTATTCAGAACTGGTGATGGTGGTGCAGGGGGTCTATAATGACATTTTTCAAATAGTTGAAAGGCTGGGAGAAGGGGAGAAACTTCTGTCCCTTGCCATAGACAGTATGATACATGGCAGTCTCTCTAAACTACAGTAAAGCAGATTTAGAACAAATGTCAGACAGGACAAGTGAAAGGACAGCGGGTCAAGCTACCAAGGGAAGTTGTGAGAAGAAGCTTTCCAAAAGAGGCCGGCCTGGCGGAAGAACAGCAAATCCTGCATTTGTGCAGGGGGCTGGAATAGATAACCCTCAAGGTCAATTCTAACCCTGTGGCCGTACCAAACAAGGGCAAATATTTGGTTCCCTGAGGACAAAAAGCAGTGACACACGTTGTGCCACTGCTACTTGTCCCTGGGCAACACCTGTGCTATGCGCCATCTAGCATGACAGGTTACCCCAGATGGGATAGGAGAGGCTGGGGCCAGCAACTATGCTGGCCCCTGCAGCCTTACCTGGGGTCCTGGGGGGCTGGGGATACACATGCAGTACTCCTGCAGCTTGGAGCCTGGCCAGCAGCCTGAGCATGGGTCCAGCGGGCCAGGTTCCAGTTTTGGGCGGCGTGCGCTGAAGCCACATTTGCTGCCCCACTTTTTTCCATGCAAAGTTTTTTGACCCTGGGATTTCCTGGGGTCAACCCATGTCCCACCCCCCACACTGCAACGTAGCAGCATGGGAAATGCCTGAATGTGTGGTGTGTGGTGCAGACCTGTCTGCAGCACCACATACTGTACAGCTGCCCTCATCTGGATGTGGCATATGAGTCTGTAGGTATTAATCAGTGCTGTCATTTTTGGGAGTAATACATTTACACATATTTATGAAGCGATAGATATTGTTCCCTTTTATGCCAGTATAAACAGAGCGGCTTCAACTGAAGTAAACAGAGTTATTCTGGTCTCAGAGACTGAGAAGTTTAACAGTGGGCATGCTTATATGACACATTTAGTGTGGAATGGACTAATTAGCTCTGAAGTAAACATCTCATGTCTACATATGCAGCCCTATTAGGCTGCAGGGAATTAATTAACTCTGCAGCAGGGTATTACTTATAAATACAAGTACTATCCTGCTGAGGAGTTTTTTATTCTGCACCAGTGCATGTGTAGCTTCTGATGCGACAGGCTGGAGCATAAGGGTTGCTTCAGTGTAGGGACTGCCTGCTGGCTAGCCCCACACTAGAGCACCCTCATTTCTCAGCTAGTCCTTCCACAGCACGTTGAGCTGGGTCAGAGCAGCCCTGGGCTAGCAAGCTGACCTTCCGGACACCCTGCCAGTCGGGGCTGCTCTGACCTGGCTCAACATGCTGTGATCTTGGGTGCATGTGTAAATGTGACACCTGGGAATAATAAACTCCAGCACACTAAACACCAGAGTTTATTGTTTTGCCTTAATAGCACGTGCAGATGAACCCAGTGAGAACACCGGATTCAGAATCAGGGCTTACGAGCTGGCCCTTCTACTCTGCTACTAACTCCTTGTGACCTTAACTCCACAGTTTCCCTTTCCTCAGCAAACAGAACTACTTAGATGCAGCTAATTTCCCTTACTGGTGTGTGAAATTAATGGTGTGATTATGAACTCCAGCTGCTTTACTCCCACTGACCCTTTCACAGGGATATTGTGCAGTCACTATGGGATTCACCAACAACAGCGCGGCTCCTAAAGGCCTGTTTCCATAGAATTTGTTCCAGATATTTCAATAGGAGTAGCACCTTAGAGCAGTTCTAAATCTCCTGGGAGCCTCTTCCCTCTCCATAATTCAGATTAATGCATGCAAACAATTGTAGTAGAATAGCAACCATGCACAGACCATCAATTTCAGTCAGCGTGTAGGGGTCAGTTTTCCATCCATCTTCCTTTTTGGCAGGCTGAACATCCACATGTCCATAGAAACACACAGTGGGCTTGTGTGGATCTTTGCCAAGTTCTGCTAGAACTGCAGGAAGACTCTGGCCATCAGGCAGCTGTGGAAGGATATTAACAGACAAAAGGCAACACTGTGAGAACCCACTAGGAGCTGTAGTATCTTCAATATCTGAGTTACCTTTTGAACTTTTAACCTGCTTTGATGAACTTTTAATCTGCTCTTATCTCAAATTTGACTCCTATCCCCACGTCTAAGGTTTGTACAAAACTGACTCTTTTGCAACCCAGGTGAAATTATTGCCCGTCTACAATGATAGCAGAAACTCCTTGCTAGACCCTTCATTTCCCCCGTAGACTAAACCTGTAATGGAGAAGGTGAAAAGCTATCTATATGTTGTGAAATTAACATTTATAGAAAGGCAGAACATAAGGTAATGTTGTATTTGGTTTGCAATAGATGTATTCGAAGAGTCTTGGAAGTCCATTTTAAAAAGTGAAATGTATTGTCTTGTTGGCAAGCAGCACTAGCAACTATTACAGACTGATTTAAAAACAGGCTAAGGTCTCCAGGTAGTATTGCAATTTACTATCACATTGGATAGATCTCAAGAGGAGGTTGGATGTCTCCCAAAAGTGAATCCCCGTATCAGAGAAGGGCGAGAAAGTTAGTGAAGTCATAAGAATTTGCAGGCTGCTTTGCATTAACAGCTGATACTAGTCTGTGTAAAAAAAAATGGTGCCTGCATTAAAAGGGCTGAAAAAAGATGTTAAAAGTAGTCTAGCAGTTTTCTTCTGATTATCAAATGAAGAGAAAGTCTTTAACAAAACCCTGTATTTTCATTCTCTGCTTAAAAGTAAGAATTCTATGATATCTACTGTCTTAGCTGTAACAAAGGGTGTCCGTACCTGTACTACAAATATGAATTTGCTATACATGACATTGAATAAAATAGAACCCCAAAAAAGATAGTTCATATATTAAAACATGACACTGATAATTAGGTACCTGGTTTACTAACATAACAGAGGTTCCTAAAGCTCGAAGTCTGTCTGCTGTTAACTCCATCATTCGTGTTACTTCTTTTCTGAAGGCTGGTTGAACGGAATCACTCTTCACAGCCACCCAGTCCTTAAGATTCTGCAAAGGAAGCCAGCAATATGATTTACAGGAGTCAATGGGTCACTACATTTGATGAACAAGGAAACAGGCCTTAGGTACTACTGGTCAGCCTTTGATCTCAAAATGCAATCCATCAGAAAATACTTTCCTTTTTGTTCTGTCACAGCCAAGCTGCAGCCGCTTTTTTTCTTCCAAATGATAAAAGACTGTCAGGACATTGCATCGCTTTGTGTTAAAATATTCACTCTGAATTTAGCAGCAGAACCATGAGCATCCAATTGTTTTATCCATCTTTTGCTGATTCCTTTAAGGAAGCCATTGGGGAGCCCACAGGTCTGGCTACCCTGTTTCTTGGCCCTGATCCTATAGCATTTGGAAATACCATATTTACTTGAACACAAGATAAGGTTCTCCCCCTGAGCCCTCCCCCACTGACCAGGGAAAAAGCCCCTCATCTTATAATCACATACAAGGAAATCTTACTAAATACATTGTCTATTATTAAACTGTTGCCAAAAGCAGCATGTGCTCAGAATGAAGCTATAAACTATTAAATTGATTAAAAGGGCCAACACTGAGCATGACTATAAATGTGTCCTATATCAGGGAAACATGCTGATAGGAACCTTTCTTTTTGTATGTGTGGCCCTTAAAAAAAATAGCTAGGTGTTTCCTCCGCATGGAATTGGCACCAGGCCTGGAGGTACTGCAATACCAGGCCAGTACTGGGGGAGCCAGAGTCAGCCCTGACACCATTCCCTTGGTGCCAAAAATGCTACATTTGACACCAATTGGGAGAGGGGACTGAACTTAGCTAAAAAATATATTTTTTTCAAAAATATATATATGATATGTATAAATAAAACTGTACCTCTAGCAACCTGTCAGGTGACCACTGTGGTTCAATTGGCAGATCAAAATATACTTTGACAGTTAAATGATTGTAGTCCCATTACACACAGGTCACACTGCACACCCACACACCTATCACCATTCCAGTGTTATCACTCATTGTTCTTCCAGAGGGTTTGCCTCTGAAAGTCTATGCCAGTCCCCTCTCCACCATATGAGGTCTTCCATTTCTTTCCTGTTGTCCTCTTCCGTCTTCCTGCACTATATTTCACTCAGCCCCATTTTAATACAGTCCTCAACTGTGGGGTCCTAGTTTATGAGTAGGTTCCTGGCTTTCCACAGGGCATACCTGAAACAGGAGATGAACTGGTCGAGCTTTTGGGCGGCCAGCAGCGGCAAACACTGCCTGGTGCAGCAAGAGGTGGTGGGGTGCAGCTGCTGCTGCCATGCGCAGCCCCGATGGGCAAGGCCAGAGCCGGTATGGGGCCTAGGCTGGAAGTGGGGCCGGGTTACAAGCTGGTGGTGAGCGGGGGGAAAAGCAGCCCCTTCCCTACCCCTTGCCTGGTGCCTTGTGCTGCAGCTGTCCGCAGCCGACATGAAGCTGCCTGTGCCTGCTCAGGACAGCCCCGTGTGGGCTGGGAGTGGCTGCAGCAGGGAGCATGGGTCACAGGGTGGGTGAGCAGCCACTTTTCCCCATGCTTTTCCTGGGCTCCTTCCCTGCCCTTACCTGAGGTTCTGGCATGTTGCAGCCACGTGGTCCCAGGCCAGAAGCCCCTGCTGGGGCCGTGGGGGGGCAGGCCCTGCTGCTGTGGGAGCCTGCTGGGCTTCCCCTGGGTCCTACAGCCCCTGGTTCCTGTCATTTTTGACAGGAACCAAAAGACAGAGAAATATTAATTTTCTAAATTTTTTAGGGGCCCTGCAGGCTGGATAGAATGGCCTCATGAGCTGGATCCAGCCCACAGGCTGTATTTTGCCCACCCCTGATACACAAGTAAAATTGCTGCTTAAAAATGCGTTTATGGAGTATCTGTGCCAAAACTTGCAGTAGTTTCAAAACAAATGTAACATGCATCAATTCTGGATGAACTAAGTATATGGGTACTATATGCAAATTACTTCAGCTTTGTTTATTTCAAGATGTAGCAGGGGGGTCCTGCCCCATTACCAAGATGGGGAGGGAGCCTGGGGTCCACTGGCCAGCTCAGCCCCTTGACCAGACTAAATGGGAAAAAGGGACCTTAAATATGATAGCTGCCTGTCCTAGGTATAAGCTGTGATTGGCAGGCCTGGGGCAGAAGTAGGTGACCCAGGGAGAGGCTCAAAAGCCCAGGGCTTGGCCCAGATGGGGTTGTCTAGCCCTAAGAGCTGCAGGAGGCACAGCTCCAGGGAGGAGTCAGTGCTAACTGTCTAGAAGAAAGGACTGTGCGCCACAGAAGGGCAAAAGAGACCCTGTGCTAGAAGAGACCCTGTGCTGCAAACAACATGAGATAAGCACTCTGAACCTTTTGTGTTTGTGCTACCAAAGGCTAAGATTAACCACAGAAAGGGCGTATGTATTTGGCAAGCCTTACGATTGGGAGTGGATGCTCATACTCTTGGTTTACATTTGAACCAGAGGACCAGAGTGTCTATAAGCGGCAGACTGGAGGCCACTGGGGTGCAGCAGGGGTGTTGAGTATGGGCAGGAGTCCAAATACATTTAGAGGGAAGATTGTGGCATGTCAGAGGACTGAGTATCTGATGGCAAAGATTGGGTGCATAACTCCCATGCCTGCAGCATGCTTAGGGGCCAAATGGCCTTGATCCCTCTAGGGGCTAGAGCTAGATTCCCAGGACCTAGGCAGTCTGACCCAGTCAAATTAAAAGGAGCTGAGACCAGGAAGAGCTTGGGTTCAGATAAGGACCTACCCTAAAACCTGCATCCACCTCCTGGGGGCTGCCTCCTTATGAAACTATAATGTTAAATTGTGGCAGGCAAGATAACCTTGAGGAGGAAAGGACCCAGAGAGTCTGGAAGAAAGGGTGAGGAGGTTGGAGCCCAGTGGTGAGCCAGGCTGGGAACTTTGTCACAAACATCCTGGTTGCACAAAGTCAGTTTTTTCAAATTCGCTCCCCATGTCCATGTGCTCAGGGAGAACAGGGTGTGACAGTAAGGAGAAGGGGAAGGGGTTTCCAGGGGATAAAGGTGGGGAGAAGCAGAGAGCAAAGGGACTACTTGACCCTCCAGATTTATTTTCCCTGATGTAGCAGTGGGAGGGGAACAAATTCAAAGCAAACTTCCAATAATTCGATTCTATACCTGGAATATTATAACAAAATTGAAAATATTTCAACATATATAATCTAATTATTGGGGGGGTCATCTTCTAGTCAGGGTCACCTTCTATTCAAGTAAACATGGTATTTAATGTCCCCAGTACACATCATGAGAGCGCACACAGCATTTATGTAAGTAGATTCCTTAAAGATAGGGGGTTTTGAGAGGGTTTTTTTTCCCCCAGGGTCCTTCCATCTTTCATCTAGCAGCTAGGAAGCCTGTTACTGTGGAATATAAAACCAAGTCTAAGAGGATGTAAAAAGAGATCTAATCAATATTAAAGATGATCATGCAAGTTCAGTTTGCATCAGGTAACTGAATTTTGTCACATTTGTGGCTCATATTCATCTTGTGGTCAATCATGACCACCAAGTGGTGCTAGCAAGCATAGCACTTGGTGCTAGCAAGCGTAGCACTGCCGAGCCTATAAGCATGCTGCAGGTTTTTCTTCCCAAGGTGGAGTACCTTGCATTTTTCAGTGTTGAAGGCCATCATGTTTTCATCCACCCATTTTCTGAGCCTGTCAAGGTCGGCCTGGATCACCATCCTGTCCTCGGTTGTGGACACTTGATCCCAAAGTTTGGTGTCATCAGAGAACTTGGCCAGTCCACTTCTGACATTGATGTCCACATCATTATGTTGAAAAGAATAGGTCCAAGGACGGAGCCGTGGGGGACCCCACGGCTCATGGTGCGCCACAGTGATCGACTTCCATCAACTACCACTCTCTGGGTCCAACATCAGAGCCAATTCCCCAGCCAGAGGACTGTGATGTAGCCAAGGCTGTGGTTGGCCAGTTTTTCTATGAGATGATCATGGGATACCAGATCGAAAGCTTTTTAAAAATCAAGATATATGATGTCAATCTCTTCTCCATTGTCCAGGTGATACATCACCTGGTCGTAGAAGGAGATGAGATTGGTCAGGCAAAACCTACCCGCAATGAACCCGTGTTGGCTATCCCTCAGGAAGTTGTCTTCAGCAAGTTTTTCAAGAATGGTCTCTTTGATGATTTTGTTCCAAGATCTTCCCCAGGATAGAGGTCAGGCTGATAGACCTGTAGTTCCCCAGATCTACTTTCCTCCCTTTCTTGAAGATTGGCACCACATTGGCCTTCTTCCAATCTTTGGGCACTTCACCTGAGCACCACAAGTTCTCGAAGATGTGTGCCAGTGGCAGAGCTATGATGCTTGCCAGCTCCTTAATAGCCTGGGGTGTAAGTTGTCTGGGACAGCTGACTTGAAGGTGTCCAGCCTCTCAAGGCATTCCTTCACATGGTCAGCATTGATGAAGGGTAACAATTCTCCCTTGCCCTGGCCATCCCGTACCATATTGAGCAGAGCCATCCCTTGGGGCTGGTGAAAGACCAATGCAAAATACCTGTTAAGCAGCTTGGCTTTTTCCTGGGTGTCAGTTGTCAGTTGACCCATATGGTTAAGCAGTCCAATGTTACCCATGCTTTTCCTCTCACTCCCAACATATCTTAAAAAAGGACTTTTTATTGTCCTTGATACTGTTAAGCAGCTTGGCTTTTTCCTGGGTGTCAGTTGTCAGTTGACCCATATGGTTAAGCAGTCCAATGTTACCCATGCTTTTCCTCTCACTCCCAACATATCTTAAAAAAGGACTTTTTATTGTCCTTGATACGTGTAGCTAGTTAGAGTTCAGTCACAGCCTTGGCTTTCCTGGTTCTCTCCCTACAGGTCCAGACCAGTGCAGAGTACTCCTCCTTTGGGAAAGATCCATCCTTCCATCCTTTGTAGGTCTTTCTTTTTAGATGCAGGAGGTCCTCTAGTTCCCTGCAGAGCTGAGGGAGCTGCTGTGCCCTTTTGCTGCCTTTACTCCGAGATGGGATAGACACTGCATGAGCTTCCAGGATCACTCCCTTGAGGAGCAACCACTCTTCCTGAGCTGCCCTCCCCTTTGGGTTGAGGTCTCTTAGGGCCTCACCAACAAGCTTCCTGAGCTTGTCAAAGTCAGCTTTTCTGAAGTTGAGGACTTCTGTATTGCTGACTGACTTGCCAGCTTTATGGTGGATGGTGAAGGTGCTCAGCTCATGGTTGTTGTCTCCCAGTTTCCCTTCGATTGTTAGGTCACTTAAAGTCATCCCCCATTGCCAGTACCAGGTCAAGCAGTGCTTTGCCTCTCATCAGTCCATAGACTTCTTAAGTCAAATAGAGCTCATCCACACATAAGGAACCTTTGCGGCCATTCAGATGTGGCTGAGTGCTCTTCCCATGAGATGTCAGGGTAGTTGAAATTTCCCATGACAACCATGGACCAGGAGCATGCAGCCTCAGCTAGTTCCCTAGTGAATTCCTGGTCAAGCTCTTGATCTTGGCTAGGAGGTCTGTAGTAGACTCCCACCATTGTGTCCCCTGTGCCTTGCTTGCCACGGATTTTGATCCAGAGAGTCTCCAAATATACCCCCTGGGTTCCAATGCTGGCTTGCAGGGATGCGTAGCTTTCCTTGACATAGAAAGCTACCCCCCGGCCCCTTTTTTCACATGATCTCTCCTGTACAGGGTATAGCCATCTATACCTGTGGCCCAGTCATAGGTGGAGTCTCACCAGGTCTCTGTTATCCCTATGAGATCGTAATCCTTTTTGTTTAGTAGGAGGACCAGTTCCTCCTGTTTGTTCCCCAAGCTCCTGGTATTGGTGTACAGGCACATAAATGTCCCATTGGGGGCCCTTGCCTTTCCTACAGATTGCTCTGGGACTGGGGTAGGGGTGGGTTCCCTTGAGTGCCTTAGGCTGCTGGGTTTACAAAAGCTGCCCAGTGGGCTTGCAATGGCAATTCCTGACCATTTCCTCAAATTCTTCCCTTTACTCAAATTGATCCTTAGTTCTTTTAAAAATACTGGTCCTGGAAAAGGTAAATAATTCACAACCCAATAGAACAAGTTGCACACTTAAGAGAAATTAAATTAAACTTCACAGGGCTGAGGAAAAATAATTCTCATCCAACAAACTCCAGCCCAAGCACAAGTGGCACATGTGCTTGGTAAGGTAGTGAAGTTGGATTGTCTGTGGTCTGCTGTTCCCCTTGATATATGGTTCTGGCTCAGTGAAAACTTATTGTGCTGACTTAGGTTTTGCAGCCCATCCAGATTTCCCAGTCTCATGGTACTGTGTACCACAGATCTCTAGTGTGGGAACATAAAGCACAGACTTTCCCTTGCTTAGATCCCCTGCACAATGAAATGTGGCATTTCCAAAATGTTTGAAACCTTCTGGAATCATGAAAGCCTGCTCTGTATTTCCCTTTCTAACATAAAACAAGGACACAGCCTGAGGAATACGTATTATTAGTCTTTCCAATTCAGTTTTACGTTACAGCTGTTTTACAACATTACATCTCTTACCTCAATAAATTCATTTTGATGATCATCAATATACTGAAATATCTGTGTCTCCAAGCTCGAGGAAGTTGAGGACACTCTCGGCTCAAAGAGTAGCATTAGGGCAGCAACGAACAATATCTGTAAGACAAAGTTCAATGTATTAAAAGCACTCCTAAGCACATGTACTACACAGTTCTCCACTGAACTGGCAGCCACAAATAACTGTGGTGCAATGGGCAAGTCAGTTGGTTTTAAAGTCCTATGACACTAGAAGAAAGCATTTCTTTCATTTTAGCACATACAACATACATGAGAATCAGTCACATTGCAGGGGGAAAAAACCCAAAAACAACAATGGGTTTATGAGTTTTGCACTTTCTGAATTAGGAGTAATTCTGAGGACTAGTTCTAAAGGTCAACTTTTTATAAAGAGACATCCATTGCTTCATACTAAACTATGAAGCAATCTCAATCTGTATGTTCTGCCAAAATACAAGAAAAAAAACTACAAACACAAATACAAGTTGCCCAAGGGGATCAGCCTTCTACTTCTTCCTTTCCAAAACGGAAAAAACCGAACTGGGTCTATAATGTACATTCCGTATTTTACATGCAATTTGTTTAAGGGATAACGTTCCTGATGGAGAATTATATGAAGCAATAAATAGCTTTTGTGGATGATTAAACACTGAGGCAAAGCTGAGACATTTGATAACTGCAAAAGTCATTTATTGCTCGTATACTCTGACTGCCACGACCATTATTTCTTGACAAGATGAAAGAAGATTTAACAAACCACAGCATTTTAAAAAATATTTTTCTTCAGGGTTTGACAGTTCTCCTCCTGCTGCTTCCTCAGAGTTTCTGCTGTTGTGTTTTTGGGAATTAGGTTGGTAGGGCTTGGAGGGTGAGGCTAAAATCAACAAACTTGTCAGTTTGTTTGGAGCAAGGCCAGGGAAGGTGGGGAAAGAAGATGCTGGGGTTAGCAAGAATGAACCACATTGCCAAAAATGTATACTCAAGTGGTGAACGCAACATATGCAGCAGCACACCCTGTAATTTTTTTAAGCTTGGTTTCTGTACAAGGAACTCAAAAGATGCATTCCTGAAAGTTTAGCAAATGGCTATAAAAACAGGTTTCAGCAATGCTTGAAAGTGAAGCAAGATGCAGCAGGACAATATTACAAAGAAGAGGAGACAAAGGAAGGAGAAGAAAGAATTAAAAGAAGGACTGCGTGGTAACATAGGTAGGTATCTGTTGGACAGCTTGATAGTTCCAAATCTCTTTTTTTTCCAAAAACACAATTTAAAGTTGTGCAAACCCAAATGTTATACAAGCTTACAAACTTTCAGCCAAGGTTTTTATTGGCAGAAGAGAGGAGGCAAGAGAATGTGCAATAAAAGAGGAAAAATAAAGAAGAGCCAAGTTTTGAAGGCTCTTGGAGTTGACCAGAAGCCTCTTAAAAACTGGAATCTAGTAAAAGACTTAAGAGGGTACGGTATGGCTAGAGCAATGGCCAGAGATGACAGCCATCTCTGCTATGATTGGGTTTAAGCAGACAGGCTTGATAGCCAAAAAAAAAAAAAACAACAAAAAAACCCAAAATCATTTTTTTTTTTTTCTGATGTAGTCAGACTTCTAGGTCTGCTCAGGGTTTTCATATGCGCAATATGTCTAGAATTTAATTAATCTGCAGAGATTGGAGATTTAATGCCTAAAGTCAAACTTCAGCCAACGAGTTTCCCTGATCTCAAAACCAGGAAATTCAAACTATCCTGGCAGCTTCTACATATTTTCAAATCCTCCATGGAAATGGCAGAAACTATTTTTCATGGATAGCAAACTGCGACTTTTCATAGGAGTGCAATGTACTGAATGTAGGTCTGTTGGGCTGTCAAGGCAAGTGGAGTGCAATCATTTCAGATGGATAGCAAGCTCTAGACGCCACTATTTTTTCAGTAGTTTAGTGAAGACTAGATCTTAGATAGTCATTTGGAATTCACATATACAGTCTAAGCTACTTAAGATGCCTGTGTGTAATCAGGCAGCCTTATAAATTACACAAATGAAACTAGCCATTTGCCAAATCCTTTTGATTTCAATATTAAGAGGCACTGTTTAAAACCCATGTATGTATCCTTGCTGGTCCCTGCAAGAATAGCCTGCACTCAGCCCTTGCTGCCTGCTGTCACCTACCTTACTCAGAGTTTGTCACAGCCTCTACTCAACTGCTCACACCTCATTAAGGCTCTTTACCATGATTTTCGGATCAGTTTGGCTTTAATAATAGCCTTGAAACTAGCAGGGCCTAGTAGCCCCAACAATGACAAATAATAACAGCACTGAGATCTGCTGAGACAAACTGAAAGAATTAGCTGTCCACCACGTAAGCTGCATAACTGCCAGGTGAACTCTCCATCCGCAGCTTAAACTGAATCAACAAGTTCGGGGAGCTAGCTTGGTGATCTAGAATCAGGATGGGAATTCTGGCTGTATTGAATATGGGTACAGACTAGGGCTGTGCGAAACAGCATCGTTGTTTTGACCAGTGTTTTGACGGAACAGCGTTTCGTTTCAAATTTTGTTTCGATTCGAAACTGCTGTTCCGTTCCGTTCCATTCCATTGAAACAGTTTTGCCGTTTTGCCCATAGGCTATAATAGGGAAGCTTGAAACAGCCCATAACTTTGTCATTTCTGGCCTTATTTTGATGAAACTTGCAGGAATGGTAGCTCCTTCTGAGGGCATGAAGCTTGCCATGTTTCAAGGAGATAGGTGCAGGGGTTTCAGGGAAACTGAACCTCAAAGTCTTGAAAACAAAAAAAAAAAAAAAAAACTCATGTCATGTTTGTGTGTTAAGCCACAGCAAGGTCAAAACTGCAGGGATGCTAGCCCCTACTGAGGCAATGAAGCCTGCCAAGTTTCAAGGAGATAAGTGCAGGGGGTTGGGGGAAACTGCACCTCAAGTTGTGGACAAGCAAAACTCATGACATGGGTGACACTGTGCGTGTGTTAAGGCGCAGCAGGGTGAAAACTGCAGGCCTGCTAGCTCCTGCTGAGGCCACAAAGCCTGCCAGCTGTCAAGGAGATCGGTGCAGGGCTTCTGGGGCCCTGCACCTCTGGCTGCTGACAGGCAAAACTCATGACATGGGTGGGTGACAGTGTGTGTGTTAAGGTGTGCCCTCACTCAAACCATGCTGTCTTTTATGCAGTTTTTCCATCCCTCCCCCAGAGCACTGGGATTGGAAGAGACCTTAGGAAAGGATGACAGTCACTGGCCAGCTACACAGTCATTAATGAGAGCACTCCTTCCCCCCCCTCTCCTTACTTTAGTCTGTTTCCCTGCAGGCAAGCCCAGCCTGAGCTTTGAAACATGTTGAAATTTTCGAAATGTTTCAACATGCTTCATTCTGTTTCGACGCTGTTTTGAAGCTCTCTGTTTTGTTTCGATTTTGCTGTTTCGAGCTTGAAACAAGTCAAAACAGCGTTGAAACGAAACTGCCGGCAACATTTCGCACAGCCCTAGTACAGACTATACCTAAGTTTGCAAAATAGGGTGGCATTACCAAGTGTAATATTCAAATAGAAGATTGTAACATATTATAAAACACTTAAAACATTGGCATTTGAGACATTAGAGTAATGCAAACAACTGGATCGGGGTGTCTGAGAAATAGATTTAAGCAAGGTAACAACAAAGGATGTATTTTGTTTAGAATGAGGTAGGGTCATGTTGCATAATAGGCATTGGATTGTTATTGGAAAGCAGGGGAAAAGAAAGCATAAAGCAGGGTAAGGGAGGGTATGCTCCAGGAAATTTTTGCACATTATTCAAGGGAGAACCAGAGATGGAACAAGCCAAAAAGAAAAAAAATACATCTAGGAATTTTAAAGTGTAGATTTACCTCAAGTGCCAATTAGAGGAGTAATTTCTTCTAGTTAGAAATGCAAAACTCTAGAACTCTTGGTTCGGAGATTATCTTTTATTAGACCAACTAAGAAATTGCAGAAAGTTAACTTTTTCGGTATCCTTTTTTTGTGATTTCTTAGTTGGTCTAATAAAAGGTATCATCTCTAAACCAAAAGTTCTAGAGTTTTGCATTTCTTTTTGTCTCAGACCAACACGGCTACCAAATACACCCCTTCTTCTAGTTAATGCATTTTTCTTCAGATAAAGAAAAGCTGAATATTTCTCCCAGCAGGTGGAGCTGGTCAGCCATTCACAGTATATAAAAATTCTATTAATCAGCTCCTGTAACAGAAATCTGGAATAAAAGCAAATGGAGATAGCGAAGAGTTCTTTGAAAGAAACATTAAAAAATGCCAGGGAAAACCCAAACCCCTCTCAGACAGCTTACTGAGAAGTGAGTGATGGAGGCTATTTAGTTAATAGTTTGGGGTATTTTGAACTTTGGGACAAAACATTCAAAGTGGGATGTAACAACAGGCAGTTCTGCAATTGGAGAGTAGGGTGTGGGGAGAGGGGAGAAGCTAGGGCAGCAGCCCCAGGAAAAAGTAACTGCTACCACAGCTGCCAGCCAGCCACACCACTGCTGCTGCCAGCAGTGTGGCAGCTGGCACTACTGCTTGTGCTGCTACTGCCCAGGGCATGGAGCTGCCCTATTATGCCTCTGAACAGCAGTGGTGCAAGAGGTGGGCCTAGTCTGAAAGTCCAAATCTGAACCTCTCTCTCAAGCCCTGGGTATGAAAAGTTCAAGAGACATCCATGGCTGACATCTGTCTCAGAGTACAAGCCCCACACTCTGAGGCAAAAGTACTTTTGAAACTGGAAATACTACTCAAGATTTGGGGGAGAGTGTGGGGGCAGTTTCTTAAAATGGAAGGGATTAAAATCAGACCCACAGAAAACACTGAGAAGGGGGATGTTTCTTTCTGGAAGGGCTGTGGCTGAACAAAGAAACAGTCACCATTTATTTTGAATATAAGGAGAGAGCCTAAGAGAGGCTTTGGCTATAGATGAGATTTTCTGTCAGATACGAAGTCACTATAATCAATGTCAAAAAAGTTTGAAAACTAGAGTTCAGTTTCAGGTATCCTGAATAGGAAATGAAAATTAGCTTGTACCCATTTCGTTCTTTATGGTACTATAGAGGCAGCCCAAAACTTGATCTTTATTT